CGCGCAAATGGCCGGCGTCACAGTCGAAGCTATTTCTTCACGCCCCAATTTTACCGCATTTCACCTTCTGTGCAAGCACACTATATTTACCGCTGAATCTACTCGACTGTATGTTCCTAATAGAAAGTTCCATTTTTGAACCGATCCGGACCAAACCTGGCACACATACACTTCGAAGCGGGGCGGGTGTCATAGGCTAGTTTTCGTCATCGATCGATATGGATTTTATCAATTTTATCGATTTTTTGCAAGGTTTGAGCTACGGGGCTGGGAATTGGCACAAGGGGGTAATCGAGCGTGCTGATTACTAAAACAGTGAGAATAGTGAATTGGCATGTAGGCGTGGGCACAGGGAAAGGTTGTACTGAGATAGGGATGAGAGCTTTATTATATTTTGACAGGGCCGGGCGGAGCCGTGTAAGCCAGCTAGTTCAATTATAAAGATAAGGAATTAGCAACTGAGTCGAATTCGCTAGTTAATTATAGCAGGATATGCCAACTGATTCGTTATGACTGAAGTGATGTAGAGAGCGAATGAGGAATCTACCACTTAGGATAAACACAGAAATGAATGTGTTGAATGAAACTGAATGAGTGAAACTGACTAAATTAGTGAACTGAATGTTATAAACTGAAATTGTGTGTAAAAACATTCATTGTGTCACTAATAGACTCAAAACCCTCTGCGCACATTGTTTATACAGGATCGAACCCGTCCTTCCTATTTACAAGTAGCATATAATCTAAACATAGATTACAAGTATAGACTTGCTGAACACGCGGTCAAACTTGTTTCGACAATACGTGCAAAGCAGATTTGATTTTCTTATTCATTAAATAAATGATATATCTGTCTCTGCACGTGCATAGAGCCTGTACAGCCAAGGGTTTCTAGCCGCAATTTTACACACATGCTGGCAAGTGTAGGCCTAGCATGCAAAAGTGCGAGTGAAATTGATAAATCGATCTTTCGGAAATTGCGCGCAAACTTTTGCACATGATGTCTCTTGGACCGCAAAACTGGGTTGGTAGTTAGACTCATTGAAAAATCATGAATTCCGAGTCATGTCACGTAAATCGTCACTTTGTTACCCATTGAGACAAATTCTGCTCGGAGGTTTAGCACACGATTATTGGTGGTTATCTCCCTTATGGCGAGCATCAAGCTATGAGCTGTAATAAATCCGGCAAGTCATACAAAGTCGCGTTCGTTTTTTCAAAAAAGTTTGCTCCTTACAAAAGCAGCAATCATACGTGGAAAACCTCACCTTTTGCTCGGCGTATGCACGAAACTGCTCAAAAAGATTCCGAGCGCTCGCTAAAATTATGGTCAGCGCTCGCTGAAAGAAACTGTTTGACTAGCGCCCGAAGAAAACTCTGAATTGCTGCCAGCTGGTAGAACATTCGACAGCAAAGGAAGTACCGCTTGCTGAAGGTTTGGCACGTTCCACAATTTTGCTGAGCGTTTGCAGAAATGCGAGAGTTTGCGAACCGCCTGTCCCCCGGCGTTATCTGAGAAAGGTTGCCACAACCTTGTCAATTGAACCACATTAACCACACGAACTACACACGTTTATTTTCGATTGCCTCAAACTTGGGTAATTAAACCCTCACTCTGCTTGAGATATGTACATAAACAACAAAGCAAGTCAACATGAAAAAAATGGCGAAGTCGCTGGCAAATAGTTGAAACTCTGTAAGGTAGCAGTTTTTTCAACATGCTATCCCACGTACAAGAAATGAGCGAATAGAAAGGCAACACAAGCAACAAGTATAAAAGATGGAAAATGCATGAGTCACAATGTGACTAAGTATATATAGACGTTCGCTTGCTGGCACTATCATTCCTTCTGCAGCTCCAACCGTTTTTCCAAGATCTTTTTGTCCAGGGAAATGCCGCATCTGACATCGTGGATTCATTCCTTGGCATTATTCAACTAGCTTCCTTCTTTGGCTATCATTAAAAACATTGACAAAACAAAACGAACATCTCAGCTGGTATTGAGGTTATCCTGTGCAACTCTCATGCTTAATATTGCTCATTGCAAGGCGATCCGCGATAGAATGCGGATAATGCGTTTCTGTAAGTTTTTCCTAGTAAAAAGTAAACATTGTACAAAAAAGTTTGGGTTTTTAGAATGTGATAGCGCTTGATCAAAGCTGGCCTTATAGCTGTGACCAGCCCTATGGGGCAGCCTTTTTCTAGTTTCCCAATTTTTCTTCTGCCAAAATCAACGAAATAGGAGCGTTGGTTAATGGTGCGACGTTGGCCTACACATGATTTTTCAGACAATTTACTACAGTGCAAATGGCTTCATAATAGGCCAGCACTGCTGATAGCTAGAATGTCAGAGAGATTTTGCTTAGCAGGGAATGCTCAGAACTCAATCCTGCAGTTGTCTGGCAGACAAAAAACATATATTTAAAATTCAGCGTTTTGAGACGAGTGATGATATACAGCTTGTTTGGAGTGGCTAGGTCAAGCTCTGAACATTTCGTCGTTAGCAGGCTATCGCAATGTTAGATTGATATCTGACTGATATCCACTGACAAACCATGTTCTTTAGCTTTATTAGTTTTCGAACTCTTGTGCTGTTCATCGCAGATGTTCAAGTGACGAATAAACAGAACAATCCCTTCATATTAGAAAATAATCTCTTTACCTTGCGTAGCTTGCTTTCCAAAAAATTCCATAATCATTTTTTGATGCTATCAAACTCTATATGTGGCCAACTCAAACCTCATAAAGGATCAACTGGTAACAGCGCGAGGTTGTTCGTTGCGCAACATTTACCGTTCTTTCAAAAGATGTTTTGTGCTTCTAATTCGCAAAGTCTCGGGGATCCAACAAAATCAATGTTTTTAAAATTGCCCCAAGCTGTACCCAGAGAATTCAGGATTTGATATCTCAAATCATCGAAAGATTATTTGCCCTTTATCGTTACTGCTAAATCATAACTCACATCTGAAAGTAACAAAATCGAGAATCTATCAATGTGTTTGACGAGGTTGCGTCATACGTTAGGTTGTGTAATAAGTTCTGTTTCATTTTTTCATTTAATTTTTCCTCATATATTGTGCAGTGGTCAACAGCCTGGTTTTGCTCCAATATCTTCCAGCAAATTACTGGTAAAGTGTGGGGATGGAGAAGTGTGGGGATGCATCTGAAAGCTCTCAGTCTCTTCTACAAGATTTGCTACTTTGTTTTCCCAAATCAAGAAAAATCCGAAATAATTTTAGGCTTTAAATCCAAAAATCCAGAGAGGCAAGAAATCCATTTTTGACATCTTTCTTTCCCTTTGACCATTTTTTTAATGAAATATACTTAAAAAACGTGACAACCAATAAAATAGCGAGCAATCTATTACATAATCTCCATTATTGCTCACGGTCTGCTCCCATCTCTCTATCAACTGATACATGTCATTTTTCTAAAAGTTGGCAGAGCGGGATTGAGAATGCGTTGAGCCAGCTCCTCAGTCAATATCGTTCACGAAGGTTACGCCTGCAAGTTTTTCGACATTGAACGGAAAAGGTGGAAATCCGCCAAAGCAAGGTTAGGAGAGTATAATGAATGCTAAAACCTCCCATTTTAAATTTTGCAGAGCCTTCTGACAGTATTCGCGATGTGTGGACGGGGATTGTCATGCAGGAGTATGACTCTTCCTCGGTTTCAACTCTTTTCTGTTGAAGAGCTTCGTTGACACGATGGAGCTGAGCGGCATAACGTATTTGGTCAACCGCCTGGTTTTTCTCCAACATCTCCCAGTAAATGACTCCTTCGCGATCCCACCACACGCAGATCATCACCTTCTTGGAATGGGAATCTTGCTTGACTCTTGGTTTTGGCCTTTCCAGCGGTAGCGTCCATTCTTTCCTTTGCTTAATGTTGGCGTAAAAACACCATTTTTCGTTTCCTGTGATAATCCGGTATAAAATCGTTCAGTGTGGCCTCGTGTCGCTTGATGCCGATCGAGATTCTGAGCTGCTATTTCGCGACGTCGTTCCCTGTCTCGCACGCTTAAGCTGTGCGGCACATCCAAATTTTTGAATGAAGCCCATGGAGTGGAGGCAAAGGCAACGGTTTTGAAGGTGCAGTATATCCTTTGCCCCAATTCTTGGATGGTTTGTCTGCCATCTTCTTCCCTCAAACATGCCTCCAGCTGGTTCTCGTCGAATTCAGAAGGACGTCCAAAGCGAGAAGTGTCCCCGAGGTCGGAAACTTCATTTTTAAATTTTTCATACTATCTCTGAGCCGCTTTCCAAGTGATTTTGCACTCTTCAAACACACTGCAAATCTCTAGGGCTGCTTGTCCGGCACTTAAACCACGTCGAAAGGCAAAATAGAGGAAATGTCGATAATGCGTTTTTTTTTGCCGCCTGGAATTTCCATGTTTGAAGCCGAATAAAATGATAAAGTCTATCAGTGAGCGAATAAGTTGGCAGGTTTGAAGAACGAGAACTCGCAAATGCATGTGAGCATCTTGTGATAGGCTGAACGATATCCTCGAGAAAATTTGGATCAAAAAATGGGACAGAACTCATTACACAACCTAATAAAAATCTAATAAAATTCGATGATGTTGTTAAAAAATTCCGTCGAAAAATTATGGCGAATCATGGGAAGGAAATCAAAATTGTTTTGTATTCTATAGGGTTTTCGCTATCTATTTACTAGGATATCTTCAGGGAAGCAGTGCAAAAATTTGAATAAATGGTGAAAGTTGACCTTGATAACGACCATGAGTCCCGGTTTTTGTGATATTCTAACAGCTCATTTGCTTAATCGCAACGTAAAGATAACACCATTTGGAAGAGCATAAAAAACTTTATCGAATGCTACCAAGATCTTATACAAGCCTTAATGACGCGTTTTTTTCAAAAAAAGATCACTTTCGAACGGCCTTATACATGTAGGCGCTAAGAGTGAAAAAGCTACTGTTTGAAGATTAGGCAAAAGTACAACTAATTCAGCCCCAAAAACAGCACAATACTTCTAGGATGGTCTAATAATAAAAGATGAATTCTTTGCTCGACTTCGAATATTGGAACTCGGCAAAAGGTAGTTTTGCTCGTTTTGCTTTTTTACGTTATTCTAAATATTTGTTTTTTTTTAAAAAGGCATTTCAGATGCAAGAAGTGTGAAATAGTTGATTACATGCCAATGTTTGTTGATAAAAACGGACACTATCTTGGTTATAATCCTAACACCAATCTCATGTATCTTGATCAGGAAAATCATTTTAACAGATTCGGTAAACAAACTATTCAGATCATTTTCAAGAAGCTCGCTGATCAGTTTATTATATCCTGAAATAAATGAAGTGTTTTGCTTTATTTTTACACATACTTTTTAGTGGTCAAAAGATATCTAGTTGTCGTGAATGTGATGTGCAGAACAACAGCATGCATAGTGTAGTCATATTTACCTCTTTCGGAAAAAATGCTTCTTAATTTCGATCATCTTCGCGTTGGCAAAACACCCAGCAGCCGCACTCGTCATTTTGTGCAAATGGGCATTCAGAACTTGATTTCACCGAATTGAACACCCGTTGTGAAAATATCAGAGAGCAATGCCGGTAAGCTTATTGAGAGTCATAACATGCAAAAACTCGACGCCATTGCTCCCGACTACTGCAGTTCGTACTTGAGTAGCAGACGGTAAGATTGACGAGAGAGTAGTTGCTCCTGTCTCTCCGTGCGCCTATATGCCGTAATAAACGTAAATTCATTGATATAATCTCTGACTTCTTGGTCCTTTGAGGTGTCTCTTAACGTTGATCTTTTACAAGGCGAATGAAATCACAGCAGGCGGCGGCATAGATTACATGCTAAAAAGTCACTTCGTACTCCTTCGCGGTGTTGATCAAAAGGGCGTCAAACTAATGATAATGCTTACTGTTGCTACTGAGCCAGCTTTGTTTAATTGCTGTCAATGTCAAACTCAAAAACAAGAAGTATACCCTTCCTCTAGATGGATAGTGCTTGTTATCACTTGAGCTTACAAAAAATGCGTTTATGGTTGTTGAGCTTCAACAATTTTGTAGGAAATCAGATTTCAATACCGTCCTAAGATTTGTCGCACGCCTCTGGATGCCGAGTTATGAGTATCTTCAAAAAAGAAGAGTACACTAATTGAAAATTACTCGTAGCATGAGATACTCTGAAAAACACACTGGCTCACTTGAACTATTAAGTCGTGCCGAAAGTTCTTTCGCACCAAATTCAAAAATTCATAACTTCTGTTTTTCCCAACCGATTTAATTGCTTTTATTTTTTATGAAAGAGTAATTCATGCACTTTATAATGACATCTTAGCTGCTTACTAATGATCATCTGTTGTACAGATAGGAGCGATAGAAGAAAATTAGTCAAAATTCGAATTTTCTGTGTAGGGTCATAAGAAAAACTTGCAACAAAAATCGGAGCAGTCAGTATTGTAGGTTCTATCAACAGCTTTTTCTAACAGTGCAAAGTTTGCGCTGATTGAGCGTCTCTATGAAAAGTTATGATTTTCGAGCAAGCAATACAAAGAATTGATTTATTTTGGCATTTTTTAAGAAAATCATAACTTTTCATAGAAACACTCAATCGGCCCAAACTTTGCATTGTTAGAAAGAGCTGGTGAAAGAACCTACAATACTGACTACTCCAATTTTTGTTGCAAGTTTCCGATTTTTTATGACCCTACACAGAAAATTCAAATTTTGACCAATTTTCTTTTACCGCTCCTATCTATGCAACAGATGATCATTTGCATACATAAAACGTTTTTGTAAAGAGCGTGATCTACTCTTTCATATAAAAATGAAAGCAGTCAAATCGGCTGGAAGAATCAGAAGTTATGAATTTTTTAACTTGGTACGAAAGAACTTCGAGACAGCCCAATATTTTGAAAAATTTTACTTCAGACGCATTCTCGATTGGAAAACGTTCATAACGTAATTTTCAGAGGTGCAGAGCAGAAACAGTTGAAACCGAATATTTTTAAATATTCGTATTCGAATGATTCATTCGATATATAAAAGTCGAGCATTTAGGGAAGTGCAATTATTCGATTATTCGAATAGTCGAACAATTGAAAAAGATCTTTATTCAAATATTTGTTCATTCGACGAATCGAAAAATAACTCATTCAAATATTCGAATATTCGAGTGAAATTAATAACGGATGAGATGTTGCTTGCTGACCAAGAAAAATCCAAATACCTTTGTTTTTCGTATTTCTAACGACGTACATACGAGCTCGAGCAGCAAGTAACCCTAACAATAAGAAGTATTCTTGAAAACAGAAAACTAATTAATTGTAACATAATCTGCCTTCACAACCTTATACTTAGCATCAAAAGCTTCACAAACTTCACGACTTTGAGAAAAGATTTTTATCTGTAGAAACTAAAGAGATGTCAAAATATTGGGTCGGTGCAAAAGTTTTGTCAGTTTTTTCAATTTATCGAGAAACACGCTAGAATGAAAATAAACAAACATCTTAAAATGTGCCCTATGCAAAAATTTTTCTTCTTTCCAGCTGCTTAACTCCCATTGTGTTTCGTTGCGAGAGTGACGAGATATTTGCTGGAAATTACAACCACTCGTTTTTACCATATCCAACTTTCGCTAATTTTTGAATTTTTTGTATGAGACTTTTGGAAAGGCCCTAATAACCACCAGATAGGGCAAACCTTTTGCCAACTTAAGCAACCTTTTGCTTTTTTTCCGGAAGTTTTCAGAGTTTTACCAAATAATTTTCCAAAAGTCGTATGTTTTAGAAAAATTGCGTAGCCTTTTATTGGACCAAACATTACAAAAACTACAGAATATTGAGGTTTCAACACTCGATTATTACTACCGCTACCATTACAAAATAAACGAGCGATTTTTGCCTCGAAACATGAAGATTTTGAAACATAGGTTACGTCAGTGCGCACTCCTGAAGTTGAGAAATGGTGCGATTTGCCCCACAAATTTCGCCTGTCTCGCCAAAAAAGACAAGTATTAGGAAGAGGAGAAAAATTTGCATCGAATAATGGCTGAAGTGTTTAACAGTTTATGTTCTACGAGGTTAAAATAGACTGAATGTGAAATTTGGTCACCTCAAAAAATAAACCGTAAAAATTTTGAAAGACAAGCCGTAGGGCTACAAAAGATTGATTCTGTTGGCAAAAGGTTTGCCCTATCTGCTGGTTGATGAGGCTCCTCCGAAAGTCTCATACAAAAATTTTGAAAATTAGCGGAAGTTGGACACGATGAAAACGAGTGGTTGTAATTTCCATCAAATATCTCATCACTCTCTCAAGGAAGCACAATGGGAGTTTAGCAGCTGGAAAGAGGAAGAAATTCTGCACAGGATACAATTAAAGTGTTTGTTTATCTTCATTCTGTCATGTTTGCCGATGGATTGAAAAAACTGACAAAACTTTTGCACCGACCTAATATAAGGCGAAAATAATGCAGCAAAACTTTTGCGCACCCCCAGAATTATCGATTTATAATACATTCTAAAAAACCAGGGTTTTCAATCTTGGCAGAAAAATCGAGATATTACCTGAAAAGTTTGGAATAATTACTGCGACACTGCTCATTTACTAAACGAGATGGTCGGCTACGTAGACAAAACACTCTAAGCCACTAACCGTAAGCTTTGAACCTGTCAAGTCTAACCAGTTAATTACTCTCGGGACTTGATCCCTCTACCCTGTTGTATTACATCTTAACAAAAGAGTTCTTGACTAGACTAGATGACTTTATCATCATACAGATATATAAAAATGGGGGACATTAGTGGGGGGGGGGACCACCGAACACCCAAGGAGTGCCAGCTCATCTGGAGATTCTGGTCGTAGAGATTGTCGGACCATCTAGTTAGTCTGCGTCTCGACATGTCCATTCCATTGTAAAGCTCGTCCCGAGCTTTCATCTTTGACCATGGCTTTTTGAAGAAATTCATCTTGGCATTTGATCATCTCGGAGTTTACACGTTGACCATTTGACCATCATCAACCATGCTGTCACCATTGTCATCATCATCGATCGCGCTATCGTCATCATTGCCATTGATCGAGTTCCATCATACGTCGTCTCATCATTGATCGAGATTTACCATATCATCGTCATCTTTATCGATTGATTGCTGGACAATTGATGGCGTTGCTTGCTCGTGCATTGTCCATCTGCAATTAGCATTCTCTTCGAAAACCATTCATCTTTTTCGTTGTTGCTTTCGTAGGGGATTGAACTTCATTGGCTGGGTTGCATCTGCTGGATTGCGTTTCCACGTTGCATAGAGGAGGAGCCGGTAAGAGACAAGGTAAACAGCAGGGCGAAACGCCAGAAGGCAAAGCGCACACTCCCGTACGTCCTGTCAAAGTAAGCTCGTCCTCGAGCGGAAGACATATATACGTTGTAGTAGAATGGATAGTTATTCAAAATTGAACTGAATAAGAAGATGAATATCGTGAAGGATTTTGCAGGAGGGATGAAATCACACATATTAAAATGGTATAAACATTACAACAAGTAAGAATTTAGAAGTAAATCATGAAATATTGAACGTAAAGATAGAATATGTAATCTATGTTTTCGCTACTGACAAATATCAACATAAATGCATCGAAATTTCACAACATTTGATTATCGAGCTCACAACTCGAAAGGAAACAATTTCTTAGCGTTGCTCACAAGGGCGTAAAGGAGAAGTGAATGTTTGAAAGCGTTTTTCGACCCGCCAATCAAAAAATTCTTTCTTTTTATAATGCGTATGCTTGCGGCAAACTTACTTCGTACCAGTAGCCGCTGCGTAAAAGAAATTTGTGAGGTTGCTACTGGCATTTCTCACTCTTTACGATGAGACCAATCCAGTCCTTGTCTCAGACGCTCTGAATGTCTGAGATTAGGCTCACTAGAACGTGGAGTCTCTGCCTCTGTGTAATTAGATTGTCACAGAGACTTCACGCTCTTGCGGCCTGCTGTAATACAGTTTGCGTCCATTCACATGCACCGTTCGTGACTTATTGTTGAACAGACTTTTTATGGCGGCATTGGGACGGCACATGGAGACAATCACAAATAAGCCCTTTCATTGAAGTGAGAATTTGGGACGCACTGTGTCGTCATGCAAAAATACAAGATCCCCAATGGAAAGGTTCTTGCTGTATACCTTCTTCTGGTAGTCGTAACCAGCTTTGTAGTCAGCTGTTTTCGCTGCCATGCTGGATCCCACTTCCATTATCGTAGTCTGCAAGGCTTGTCGCGGATTGCGCGACTTCCTTATAGGGAGTTTGCCACCGCAAAGCGATGGGTTCTAAAACGCCAGTCTTCGCGCTGCCCCGCCTCTCGTTTCCACGTCTAACTTCGCACG